GATAATATTGAAGAATTGTAGAATTAAAAAAAAAAACAATTGACGAAGAAATTAAAAAAAATATCGATATCAAGAAAATAGATGCACAAGATAAATAACGCAGATATTGATAGAATACAAAATTCTAATAACTTTTCTAAAAACAAACAAAATCTTTTTTCCTTTTATCGTATTCAACGTTAGAATTCGATATCGATTCCTCGGATCTTCATGGTCTCCCATCAACCGAGGTCCTCCCCTAACGACCAATATTATCAACATGATTTATTTGTAAGTTTTCGAGGCTGCATACTTAGGTTATTACTGTCATAAATTCGAAACACGTTTCTCCAACGGTTGATACCATGCCTGACCTACCTCATCTTGAAATATGAGAAACTTGGCGAAAAGTTTCTATAAAATATTCCCTCGGTCCTCTTACATTTTTTCCACTCGTATTCTAACCGTACACTGTTATTCTCCTTTCGCGTATACAGTATATATTTGCTCTTATATTTTTATCGATACGAGGGAATTGTTGAAGATGGAAATATTTGTGTATACGATAGGATAAATATTATGCACCAACGACAATATTTTATTGAAATATTCTCTTTATCGTTAAATATTATTTGATTTATCAGGAAAAGGAAACAAATAGATGCATAAAGAGAAAAAATTAACCCTATTCGTGAAAAAAAGATTTAAAAAATTGTATACTTTTTATAAACACACTACTATTAGTAAAATAATCTTGCAAACAATTTTCACTCCTCCGTTCTCCGAAAATATTTCGTTTCAACGGTTCAAAACTAGATACGCAATTTTATATTTTAATGTTTATTGCACATTCGATTTCAAATTAAATTTTATTTCAACTAGCGCGATAAGGGAAAACTATATTTATCGTACAGTAGAGATAATACATATACATATATATATTTCAGATAACATTAATAGAACGTTCGAATATTAAGATTAATACCAACAACGAAAATTGCTACTAGTAAATAATAAAAAATACAACGTTGCCTTTCGAAATATTTTTCTAACTCGTTCCATTTTAACATGGAAACGACTGGAAGGGAGTAACGGTAACGGAGGCTCGTTAATGGAACGCCGGAAGACAAATGCGTTTCTCGATACAAAGCATTAAGAAACTCGTTACAACGGGGACCTGGAAAATAGGTGGAACTTGGGATGCTATCGGTTTCGTTGCTGGCCCTAGCGATGGGAGTTGCAGTTTGTCTCGTCGATTCCCGCAGTTTCGCGATAGCTTGCCTTGCTGCGGTCAAAAGTCGAGGGGGGAGAAAGGCAATTTACGCGACAACGGCACCGATGGACGTTCGATCCTCTCCTCTCCCACTAGGATTCGTGCTACGCACCATAGTTCGCATTGTTTCGAAATAAGAGAAATAGTAGTGTCGCACGTTTTTCGACATTTTGTCCTCGTATGGGAATTTCTTTTTAATTGGAAAAAAGATCTGTTTCGAATATTAATCGAAATATCGTAACATTTGCGCGTTACAATATAATTTGCTGAATCGAAGAAATTAACCACTTGACCCCTCCAATCCCTAAGTGAACCGAACAATACTCGATAACACAAATTAACCCTATATAATATCCCTGCACACCAAAAAGTCCGAATGAACTACTAAAACCCACAAGAAACTCCTTAAACCACCATACCAGTTCGCAAACCACCGTCACCCAAACTTCTCCCTCCCCAAAACTTCCTCTTTAAAACACCATCAACAACAACAACAAGAAGAAAACCTCCTCGATACGTTCTTGTTTCAAAACGTTTAATCGTTGGCGGAATGCGCGCAATTAAGGCGAATTAATGAGTCTTATCGGATGGTGGCCGGTTTTTCGGTGCTCGAGCGAAGCAACAGCTAGTAGGGGGCGGTTTACAATGTGTCGCGTGGACGGAGAGAGAAATAGAGAGGGAGGAAGGGAGGGAGAGATAGTTTGGAAAGGGTTGGAGAAGAGAGGGAGCGAGACGGAAATGGTAGCGGAGGAAGGAGAAGAGAGAGAGAGGTTGGAGTGGAGAGAGAGAAGGGGTTGGAAAGGTGGGGAGAGCCGGGGAGGGAGAGGAGGTGGAAGGAAGGAGAAGGACGGAGAATGTCTGTCGTGGCGGTAGTAGCATATACGGTGGTTTAACTCGCGGGGAAAACTCTGAGAGCACGAGCTCGCGATCCTCAGTCGCGTGTGACACGCGGCCTTAGGTAGTCGTGCTGCTCTTGAATCGTCTCGTTTGCGTGGCCGCCTTCGTGATCGCGATCGCGTTCGAGGATAGATCCTTCCCTCGACGTATAATATCGATGGGAAATCGGTGGATCTCGAATAGTTTGGTATTTTCGTGTTTGATTCTGGATCTTTTTTTTTTTTAAGAAGATTGTAGAATAGTCGAAGATTATTCGGGATTATAATGTAATATCAATAGGTGAAGAAAGTGTAGTATCGAATTTTTATTTTGTCGAGACGAGATTGAAGAAAATTTGTTCTTAGATTCGGTGGTTTTTGAGTTTGAAATTTTCACATTTGATACAAGATCGAATTTTTTTATTCGTGAAATTGATGAAGATTGGATTTTATGCGTGGATTCGAATCTCTTATTCGCATTCCAGTGATTGCTGAGGAATAAATCGCGTGTATTCTTTGATTTTGCGAATTTTATATCTACGAAGATGATAGATGATTCCCGAGTTTTAAAGATTCGAAAAATTAATATTTCTATGGAAATAGAGATCGGCAGTGTTAAATTTCATCTCGAAGTTTGAATTTTCAAGAATGGAAATCTGAAGTATTTGAATCTAAGGAGTTTGTCGTGAGAAACCTGTGACCGAAGTGCAAAGTTTCCTGGATCTTAAAGACATTTGAATATCGACTTCGACTGTGAAGATTTCGCTTCTAAAATCGGCGAGTGATCGTAGACGATTCGAAATAGAACCGCAGTTTAATCCAATGAAATTTACATAAGTTTATTCTTACGAATTTTGAAGCCTTCTAATCGCCGAAAATAGGATCTAAAATTGTCATTGTCGTTTGACAAACAACGTACCAAACGATTTATCGTTTACTCGCGCTCGAAATTCAATGTTAAAAACGTAATAAAACGAATTAAAGCTGTAATTACCAAACTACTACGTTTGAAACTATTTGAATCTCAAAAATTTTCTCATTCAAGCATCAATCTATTTAAATTAATATTTAAAATTCCAATTTACTCGAAACTTAATTTCAAAGAAACCGTAAAATCGTAACAACACATAGCGTTTTTCAGCCAATATACAAAATTTTAAAACATCGGTCAATAAATCCCAAAAAACTTCTAGACGGGAAATCTACTGCCTAAACGAAAACCACAATTCGTTGCAATTTTACCAACGGGATCTTACCAACTTCCACCGCCTCGACAAACTTTTCCATTAACAAGACGAGAGACGAGAACAAAGACCAACCAGCGTCCGTGCATCCGTGAGAAAAGTGTTGCAAATTTTCTATACACGCTTCCATTATACCGCTTGATTCGTAGGAAAAGTCATTATCAACAGTTTCGATCGCAACACGTTTGACCCCCATTAGAAATCGATATATAGGATCGAGGATAAAGAGATTATAAATCCCGCGTAGACGATGAATATTTCATGGGAGACGAGGTAGAGGGAAAACGATATCCTCTCCAAGGATTTATAACGATGCGTGTGAATGGACTGGATGGAATCGTTTCGAGACGTTTGACGAGAGAGTACCTGGTGAAACAGGAAGCGGAGGATGCAGGTATGTTTGGAAAGGGGTGGAAAGCGTAATCTAGATAATGTTTGACAAATGATAGTGCATGTGTGTAGGAGCGATATGTTGAGAGGGATTTCTCTCTTTTGTGGTAGAGAGAAAGAAAAAAAGAGAGAGAGAGAGAATTTGAAATACTACTGATTGATAGAAAATTTTGTATATAGAGACTTGAATCGAGTTGAATTGGTTAATTGGTTAATTGATAGTCGAGTTATGACGGTGAATAAGGGAGATTAAGTATTCGAAGAGGATAAGAGGAAGGTGACAATAATTGTGGAAGTGGAGGATGAAGAAGAAATACATGAAAGGGGATGGAAAATGGTGGATTTTGGATACATGATAAACGATTAATATGGTATATTATATATATATATATGGTATATTATATAATGGTATATTATAGAAATCGTCATATTTATATTATAGATCTTATTCAAGATTTAAATAAGGATTAAAGAGAGATTAAATAAAGACTGAAGTTGAATTACAAGAATTACGACAATAATAAATGATCTCTTGTTAGAAATTCTGAATTTGGAACTGAAAATATTTATCTTATATTTATTTATAAAACGATCTTTCGAAACGAGAATATACTGGAACATCCACCAGAGAGAATTCCCCTCATCGAAAATTCTAAATCCAGTCAGGGAGGGTGATCGATGGGGAAGTAAAGATACGACGATAAATCTTTTGATCCAGGTGAAACAGAGGACAACGGAAGTGGAGGACGCGTACAAGAGGAGTTACATTCGAAACTGGAATGGAAACTGCAATCTGGACGTTTGATAAACGACAGAGCTAGCAACGTTTCCACGGAAACGAGTCTTGCTTGCACTTCCAAAAAAAAAAAAGAAAGAAAGAAAGAAAGAAACGTCGAACGAAAGAAAACTAAAATTCAAAACACTTCCATCGAAGATATCTTCCCTTCTTAAATATTCTAAACCGAAATAGATACGAATTATACAATCAACGTTGAAATCAAGTCAAATCGCGATAAGATCCGTGATTCCTCGAAGCGGAAACGGCATTCGAAGAGCGAGCTAACGAAGTAAGAAAAGAAAGAAAAAAAAAAAAAAAAAAGGAGAGATCGAAGCTTTTTCTAGATATTCCACGACTTCTCTCGAGCGAATCTTTAATCGAGGAAGAAGCGAGGAATCTCGAGGAATCGATTCGAGAGATCGAGCGGGCTCGAAGAAATCCCTCCGCTCCTGGACTTTTGAATGGACAATAATATTCGTTATCAAGCGTGTCGGGGAGGATCGCGCGTGTCTCTGTCACGTTTCGATCGTGGTTAAACCGATGGTGAACGACGAAGCGTGACCAGGTGCCGGAAGTTCTCTCCACGTCACTTTCGCTCGACCAACTATCTCGCGGAACATGACACGCTCCACGAATCCGTGATCGCGATGGAAATAATATTTGGCGGGATTTGGTGGCAATCTGCGCCGTTTCTTTGAGAAAATTAGGCGGAACCGGGTTGTTGGAGGAGGGACCGGAAGTCGAGGATGCTCGAGAAACGCGTCGTGGTGTAACACTCGAAACTAGCGTGTACATTTTGGGTACTACGGTGATCTCGTTTCGTTTTTCTAGGTTAAAAGGTGAAAGAAGAGGCAGAAAGAATCATGAGGGATAAATTTGCATTCAGCGTGAGTACCCTGAAAGATATTGGATTCTGCGTTTATTTTAGGAGGCGAGCGTGACATCGATGCTAACCGATCGATCGCTTTGTAGATGTATTTTCGAACCGTTGTAGCGGGTTGAGAGAATGAATTACATATAAAGTTGTTCCTCGTAACCGTGTGCATTTTTAAGAAGGCGAGAGATCCGAGTTTGAGACGGATGGGCCTGATTTTGTATTCATGGTGAAATGGAATTATCGGTTGAAGGTAGTTGGGGATAGTCATTGCAATTGTGTCACGCGATGAATATTTTATTTGCATAGTTTACTCCGCGATATATCTAATTATGCCCTTTTCCCTTATCTTTCTTTCCTTCTTTCTTTCTTTCTTTTTTGTTTCGTTGATTATCGTTTCACAAGATTTAAATTTTTAAGTTTTGCTTTCTCGCGATATTTTTGTAGCACAACGAAGGATTTTTCTTAAATGTTTTTCTCTCTAAACATTTTTATTATTAGTTGTATTTGATTTTCAGTATACTTTAATTCAATCTTTAATATCTATCTTTAATTGTAAAATTATTTATCACAATATTTATGAAAATAGGAGTAATTGGTCGATAGATTAGATATTTTATTTAAATTAAAATATTTTCTCTTCTTTGTATTTTATCACTCTAATTATCATCATTGTTTTCACAAATTTCTCTAAACAATCAAATGAAAATATATTCAAAGATAATCTCATAGATAATCCTATAATTCCATTTTACCGAGTAAATATTTTTCCTTCGCCTTTTCATCTAAAAACGTCTTCTTAATAAATATTTCATCAGTGATAAATCTGAAAACGCTTTATCATTCCTTTCATAAATTAATAACATTAAAAAACATTCCACTGTCCATCTTATTATTCCACTGTCCATCAAAATCCATTTTACTTTTAAAATATAAGATATACTATACTTAAAAAAATCATATTATCTCAAAATTCTCGATGATGCAAATGTAATTACCTTTCTCTGCACTGAATCGAAATATACAAATTAATTCAATACCGTTGGAGAAAGTTTGAGGAGAAACCTTGTAATAATTACTCCTGGTGCAAAACTGGTTTTACGATTTCACACGTAGCCTATCGAACAGTGTTAATTACCATCGATTAAACGTATGAAAATTACATACGTATTAACGCGAAATGATAAAATATAAAACAAACTCCTGATTATGAATACTCGTCTCGATTGCATTCTACATTTTATATCATATTATATATTTTATATTATGTAATAATAGATAAAACCCAATAATTAAACCCGATAAGGGAATATTGTACATATATTTATTCGGTACACATCGAGCAATTTCCGGTAACTAATAATTCGACGTGTACATATTTACAATTCAAACTCGTTCCGCTTATGATTTTATTTACGTAAGATCATGAATTTTAATCTCCTTTTTATCATGCACGATGAATAGCACGTTCAATCGTTAGAAATGCGTAAAACATCTTGAAATTATTAATTTTTGGATTTATAAACTGGTGGAAAAAAAGAAAATACTTTTTTAATAATAATAAAATATTTTAATCTTTTAATAATTTTTACTAAATATTTTTATTCAATTAGTTAATTATTTAATAGTTTTAATTATTCCATTTTTCGAGAGAATAAAAGATTTTGCAAATAAATTTTTATTTATATTAGCAAAATTACGTATCGAATATACATATATTTTAATTAATAAAAACTCAGAATTATCTTCATATTAAAAATAATCTTGGCAATCAATAAAAGAAATTTCAATAGTACTTAGGAAAGTAACCTTTCTCTCAAAAAATAATTTATCCTACATCCATAACACAAAGATTTACGTATCACCTTATCACCAATTCCTGTTCACCGAATTAATTTCATTATTATCAATGCACATTGATGCAATTAATCATTCTAACTCGATTCTGAACAATGTGATTTACAGTCGGGGGTGCCGGACATGCACGAGACCCTGTCCAGTTTTTCGGAACAGTTCAGGGACGGGCCGACGAAGCCGGAAATAAAGCCGGAAGCAGGTAAGGAGACGGAGAGGACCGCGGAGCCGAAGTGCGGTTGGTTCTGGTTCAGACCCAAATATTTGCAACGATTTCGAACCGCGAAATGGGCGCTCTTCTGGTTATGCTGGACAGGTGCGATGCAAGGTATGCAATTTAAATTTCTATCTCCGGATAAGGAATAAAACTAATTTTAACATTGACTTCGATTCGTTTCGAATTTGTCATTTACAATTTATTTTTACTCAGGAAGAAGGAGCAATCTTATCGATTTTCTTTTATCTCGAACAATTAATAATTCTTTAATCCTTTAATAATAATTCTTTGAGTGAAAATGTTCAATTATTTGGAAAACACGATTTATACACGATTTTAACACTCGATCGAATTTCCCCCGCAATCATTGGCTCTCGTATCGAAAACGTGTGCCGATGTCGATCATAAACGCGACATTTAACCACAAACAATATTTCGTCGCTCACTGGAACGAATCCACGGGTTCATTTTTCGTATGCGTAAACAGGCCGTGCACGCAGACACGCGGGTCCCAAAGCTGATTGACTCTGATATCGCCGTTTGCCGTTACTAATAGCCGTGCATTCGAATGCAATTTCGAAGCTTTCACGGTGGCGCGAAGAGGGAGGGGAGGGGGGTGGATAGGGTCGACGGTGACTGACGATAACCGGAAATCGAGTTTTCCGGCCCGGTGGCAGGAGGTTGACGCGCTGGAGGGTGGTGCACGTCGACGAAAGGAGAGCGGATCGGAGGCGAAAAGGGCGGCGAGACGAAGGTCGTCGACGTTGGCTAAAAGGGGTGGAGGAAAGGTTGGAACACGGTAGCCGTATTCGGTTTAAATAAGTTTGTTCGTCCCCCTCCCCTCGCTGCTCCTCTACTCGGCCGACAAAAGAAATCGTCGTGTGGAGGTTCGTGCCTTCTTCGAGGCGAATGGGATTGAACAAATTGCTGGACAATGGAGCCGGCAATCGTCTGTACGTAAGTCGAGAATAAGGCCGGTGGTGAGTGGTGCTCGTGCACGCAGGGTTATGAGAATTCGGATGTTGTAACGAGTATTAACGTTTCACTATTGGATTCGTGTATAAAGTTAAAGGATTTCTTTGTTTTTCCTTTTTTTTTTTTTTTTTTCAGTACTTTGAGAATTGGTAGAGGGGAAGTATGGATTAAAGAGGAATGTTGTTTCTTGTGAAAAATAAGAAACGAAGTAGACAATTTCATTACTTAGATTACAAAAATCTTCTCAAATTCTGTCTTCCTTAATTAAAATTATCCTAAGATATTTTTAACGTGGAATAATTCTTAAGCAAAACTTCAGATTTCTTCATTTTCAAAATACCAAGCAGAAACAATTGATTGAAAATTATCTTCTATCCGATACATGTATTACAAGTATTATTCCAATCCCTGTTAAATCATAATCATCCATCCTCCTCGCATCGATCGATCAACGTAAGAAGAAGCGAGACACAAAAAACGTACGCGCATAGAAGAAGAGGGAGGAGTGTCGGCCAGCAGCTGGAGAAACAAATTATCCGCGCTGCACGACCGGTTTTAATTAAAATTCTCCTATTAGCGGTACAATGGGAAACGAAGGTGGTTCATTTTCCGGGTGGACAGACACCGGATACGCCGACACTCGAGCCAGGCCTCTTGCTGGCCACGGCCGTCTGTGAACGCGTTAATTCGATGGATGTTGTAAGGTTGGTGTGGGAGGGACGAGTTAAGAGTGTTACTTAATTGTTCGAGGTGCAGTTTGGTTATCTTGCTAGTTACTGGGAAGAAATTGGTTTTCGCGGTAGGTTGGAGTGNTATATATATATATATATTTGTATTGGTGTATTTTTATTTATTTGGTCGAAACTTGGTTTCATATTTCGATTTTGATGAAAATAAATATGAAATATTTTTCGAAGAATATTTATTTAAGAAGTGCTATTATTTTTCTTCTCTGCCATCAAAAATGATATGAAAGTGCGTAAAGTGATTCTTAAATATTTTAATAAAAAAATATAGATTGCAAAAAAATCATGAATCATAAATTTACATAAAGTAAAAATAAAATTACGTTTCATTCGTGGAATAAAAGATAATGTTAAAACAAAATTTCGAGAGTTAGATCTCTTTATTTTTTATATTAGAATTATTAAATTTTCACTAGAAACACGTCGACTAAACTGAAAATTAATTCCATTCAAAAAAGTCAATCGAAATATATATCTCACGAATAATACAATACACCAATACTTCCAAAAACTTAAATAATCACCATACACATTTTTATTGTTGAA